CTCCCATATGAAGGGTCTTCACCCCTCCTGCCAGTCTTCACGGATTTTCTCCGTGAACTCAGGTCGCGACGTGCGTCCAAGCACGTTCCGGGGGTGCCTCGTGGCCGCGCTTTTGCGTGCTCGAGTGCGCGGCGGCACGGCTGCGCGTGCCTCGCCGCCCTCGTAGGGCACGCAGGACGCTGCCGTGCATCCGCTGGCACTGAGAGATCAATCGAGAGCCCATGTCAGTGGTACGTCGGGCTAGGAGCGCCACTTGCAGCAGCTGATGGAATTTAAGGCAGCCCGGCCGAGCGCAACCACTACAAAAGCAGCACGATTGCGTGCGTGTGTGCCTTCGTTGACGATCCTTGTATTACTGATTACCGACACGTGTGCTGCTGCGCGTCCCAAGTGCCTCTTGCATGTCGGCCCGCACAAGACGGGCACCACCACCTTGCAAAGCGCGCTTCAAGCACATGCCAACTTGCTTCAGCAAGATGGCTGGCACCAGCCCCAAAGACAACAGTTCAGCGCAACATATCCAGGCGCCAAACATTTTGCAAACGTCGGGCTTTTCCTCCAAGGGGATAACCCGAACTCAAAAGCACCAGTTTGGCAACACTTTTTGAGTTGGATTCGCGCAAGGGTGAGGGCCAATGAGAGCATCGTGTTGTCTTCGGAAACCCTCGGAAAGGCGTCGGTGAACAGATCGCTACTCGCGAGCGTGCTCGCCCCATTCAAAACGACCGTAGTGGTCGGCTACCGCATCTTCTTCGACTGGATACTCTCCGTGATCCGGGAATCAACATATCAGGCCGGACGGGACATGGATGCTGTCAACAAGAGCATGCTTGAGAGCTTGCCCTTATCACGCTCGCTACATGCTATGGTCATCTGTAAAGTATATGGAAGATGTGCCCAGGGGAAAAAGTATACTATGGAGAATCTACTGCGATTACTTTACGGATTGCAGGGCAAGATCCATATACTTCACAGATGACGTCATGCGTGCCTATGCGCAGCATTTTGACGACACCCGCCTCCTGCCGATTGGTTCGCATATGGTTAAGACCTTTGTCTGCTCCTTCATGAGTGCGCCTCTAACTTGCGCCTCTCTGCACAAGAGGCCAGCCAAGATGATGAACGTGAGGGCGCTGCCGCCTCCTCCTCCTCCTACATCGGGACTGGACGCTGGATTGTGCGCCTCTCCGGGTGGTTGCGTTCATCCGGATGTTCGCAACATGCTGCTTGCCCGTGCCTACAGCAGTGCGATGGAACTCGCGCCGTTCCTCACCCTCCAGCTAAATGAGACCGAACTGGGCATTCGGTTGGACGCCCTTGGCCTGTGCTTTTGTGCACCGCGGCGGAAGCCGGATCCTGCTCCGCGCCTGCGGGCTCCGACTCCAGGTCGATCGCATGGGCCCTCCCCGTGGCGTCACGCTGTTCCCAAGCCGCCCTCGTAGGGGTCGCTTAGGCGGCTCCCGTGTGGTGTACATGTGTCCGTGTGCGAGCTCTAGAATTTTAGCAAAGACAAGTAGGTAGGTAGGTAGAAAGGTGAAGAACAGCCAGGCTCGGACTGGACACCAACGCGGTATGGGTGGACGCTTGACAGATGATGACGAGCCGTATAGCAAAAAGAAAGCCGGGGCCGCGCCCTCCCTTCCCTCGCGCTCAAAGCTGGAGAAGGCAGCCGT